ATTTTTAGTAAGCAAGACAATACCGGTCATCGAAATCAAAAACCAGTATACAGAATTATGTATCTTAGTGTAGTCTACTAGTGTACCAAGTTATATTGAAATCAGACCAAAACTGTAGAAGGAGTAGCTTTTTAAAAGTATTTCACAGAATTTTCCATTTTTAGTAACCACGGCAACACAGTTCATCGAAATCAAAATCCGATACAAAGAATTATATATCTTAGTGTAGTCTACTAGTGTGCCAAGTTATATTGAAATCAGACCAAAACTGTAGGAGGAGTAGCATTTTAACAGTATTTCACAGAATTTTCCATTTTTAGTAACCACGGCAACACCGTTCATCGAAATCAAAATCCGATACACAGAATTATGTATCTTAGTGTAGTCTACTTATGTGCAAAGTTATATTGAAATCAGACCAACACTGTAGAAGGAGAAGCATTTTAAAAGTATTTCACAGAAATTTCCATTTTCAGTAACCACGGCAACACAGTTCATCGAAAGCAAAATCCGATATACAGAATTATGTATCTTAGTGTAGTCTACTTGTGTACCAAGTTATATTGAAATCAGACCAAAACTGTAGGAGATGTAGCATTTTAAATGTATTTCACAGAAATTTCCATTTTTAGTAAGCAAGGCAACGCCGGTCATCGAAATCAAAAACCAATATACAGAATTTTGTATCTTAGTGTAGTCTTCTTGTGTACCACGTTATATTGAAATCAGACCAAAACTGTAGAAGGAGAAGCATTTTAAAAGTATTTCACAGAAAATTCCATTTTTAGTAAGCAAGACAACACCGGTCATCGAAATCAAAAACCAATATACAGAATTATGTATCTTAGTGTAGTCTACTAGTGTACCATGTTATATTGAAATCAGACCAAAACTGTAGAAGGAGTAGCTTTTTAAATGTATTTCACAGAAATTTTCATTTACAGTAACCACGGCAACACAGTTCATCGAAATCAAAATCCGATACAAAGAATTATATATCTTAGTGTAGTCTACTAGTGTGCCAAGTTATATTGAAATCAGACCAAAACTGTAGGAGGAGTAGCATTTTAACAGTATTTCACAGAATTTTCCATTTTTAGAAACCACAGCAACACCGTTCATCGAAATCAAAATCCGATACACAGAATTATGTATCTTAGTGTAGTCTACTTGTATACTAAGTTATGTTGAAATGAGACCAAAACTGGAGGAGTAGCATTTTAAAGGTATTTCACAGAAATTTTCATTTTTAGTAACCACGGCAACACAGTTCATCGAAATCAAAATCCGATATACAGAATTATGTATCTTAGTGTAGTCTACTTGTGTACCAAGTTATATTGAAATCAGACCAAAACTGTAGGAGATGTAGCATTTTAAAAGTATTTCACAGAAATTTCCATTTTTAGTAAGCAAGGCAACACCGGTCATCGAAATCAAAAACCAGTATACAGAATTATGTATCTTAGTGTAGTCTACTAGTGTACCACGTTATATTGAAATCAGACCAAAACTGTAGAAGGAGAAGCATTTTAAAAGTATTTCACAGAAATTTCCATATTTAGTAAGCAAGGCCAACACCGGTCATCGAAATCAAAAACCAATATACAGAATTATGTATCTTAGTGTAGTCTACTAGTGTACCAAGTTATATTGAAATCAGACCAAAACTGTAGAAGGAGTAGCATTTTAAAAGGATTTCACAGAAATTTCCATTTTTAGTAACCACGGCAACACAGTTCATCGAAATCAAAATCCGATACTAAGTATACAGAATTATATATGTTAGTGTAGTCTACTAGTGTGCCAAGTTATATTGAAATCAGACCAAAACTGTAGGAAGAGTAGCATTTTAACAGTATTTCACAGAAATTTCCATTTTCAGTAACCACGCCAACACAGTTCATCGAAATCAAAATCCGATACACAGAATTATATATCTTAGTGTAGTCTAAGTTATATTGAAATCAGACCAAAACTGTAGGAGGAGTAGCATTATAACAGTATTTCACGGAATTTTCCATTTTTAGTAAGCAAGACAACACAGTTCATCGAACTCAAAGTCCGATACACAGAGTTATGTATCTTAGTGTAGTCTACTTGTATACCAAGTTATGTTGAAATCAGACCAAAACTGGAGGAGTAGCATTTTAAAGGTATTTCACAGAAATTTTCATTTTTAGTAACCACGGCAACACCGTTCATCGAAATCAAAATCCGACACACAGAATTATGTATCTTAGTGTAGTCTACTTGTGTGCCAAGTTATACTGAAATCAGACCAAAACTGTAGGAGGAGTTGCATTTTGAAATTTTTTTTACAGACATACAGACGGACGGACGACGGACGCATTACTATCACATAAGCTCTTCTGGTCTCTGACCAGTAGAGCTAAAAAAAAATCTTTTGACGGAGACAAAATCATGCTATTCTCTAATAAGTATCAAATCTGTAGTAGGTCATTAAAAATCTCATAAGAAAAATTGTAAAAAATGTTATGAAAAAATAACAAAAATATGGAGTTGTCTAAGTTTTATCTTAATCGTAAGATTTTTGTGAAAAGGGACGCTGATTGCTCGACACTCAGGGTCATTGAACAGTGAGGGATCTTTTTCGTGTCAGCACCAGTAGTATAAACGGTCTGGATGGGGAGGTCAACTGAGTGCACTTTTGGCCCTGGGGGGATAGGTGGGTCAAGGGAGTGCAGGTTGGGGGGATAGGGGGGTCAACTCAGTACAGGGCCCCTAGGGGCTAGGGGGTTCAATTCAGTACATAGCCCTAAATACGGCGCTTACACTGTATATAGTTTTTTTTTACTGTACGCTGCTACTACGATTCAACGCTGCTACTACGATTTGGCAGCGACTCAAGAATGTGATTATGACGTCACGATTTCATTCACAGTCAAAGCCTAGCCAGTTCAAACTGGATTTTCTGAAAACAATAACAAAACACAAGACAGACAATAACAGATTTTATTCAGAATCAAAATACATACAGAATTTTCCTCTTGTGGGTGCTGGCTGGAATCTCATCTATTTTTTTCCTTTTTGTACTTCTTTCACTAACACTAAAATAAAGATCGAGAATTAGAGCTTAGGAAAAGAAATGCCAGACTATTACAGAGAAGAGCTCAACTAGAAAAACAACGACAACAGCAACAAAGGACTAGGGCGCATGAGGGACCAAAGTCACCTATTCATTCATCCCGGAAACCCAAGGCCATTTCCAAGTATTATCAGATGAGACTGAATAGAGAAATGCAGTCTTCAAAATTTAAAGCGCAGGAAAATAAATATACCGTCAATTTCAAAGAATTTCCAGAAGAGGAAAACAGAGGATTCGTTCGGCGATTATTCAGAGACATGTTACAAACAGTCAAATCTAAAATGCAGTGTAATCCTAACGATTATCTACGTCTGAACCTACGCCACGATTCTTTGGATTCAGATATTTGGTACGAGTTTACGCAATGTAAACATTTAAACGAGGACCTCATTTTAGACAAGATAGAAGCCGTTCAACAATCCAAAAAGGAGTTCAAACTGGGTGACGGCTCCCTGGAATTCGACCTGTTTCACGTCAAGTATCCTGAGGGGAGTGGTGGACAGAATACGAAACATTTACAAGTGAATAAGGAGACTTTCAAGAACAATAAAAGAGCCATCGTTCGGATCGTCAATCCCTGGGATAAATTTTGTTTGGCTAGAGCCATCGTCGTCACTAGATTACACAGTCAGAAACCAGAACATCCAGACCCGGAATGGGAAAAACAATGGCTGCGTATGCGGAAAGGAGATTTTAAATCCTTGGACCAGAAGAACCAAGCAATAGCCCTCATGGAACAGGCCGAGTGTGATATCACTCAAGCTTGTGGACCCATATAATGGGGGAAATTACAACAGGTGTTAGCTCCTCGCTATCGACTGAAAATATTTCAGTTCAAGTCCACTTCGACTAAACTCTGTTTAGAGCCTATTTACAAAGGTTCGGGAGATGGAACTTATTTGAACATTTTGTTAGACGACCATCATTGCGATGCTATCATATCGATGCCAGGAGTAACAGGGAACCCCTATTACTGTGATCATTGCGATGTGGGGTACAGGACTGTCACAGAACATCGGTCCCAGTGCCCTCATCGCTGTAAATATTGTTTAGGATGCCCCCGATGTCCCGAAGACGGGAGCCGCAATGCCATGGATTTTTTAAGAACAGGACCTGCTACGAAAATAATTTAAGACCCCATAGTAAGAAAACCACCACCACTGTCTGCAATTTAATGGAACGATGCGAGAAGTGTCATTCCTGGATGCCTAAGAAAATATTTCCTCGTCACAAGTGCGGAGAACAGAAACAATGTAAGATCTGTAAGAAAATCGTCGATTCCGATCATCAGTGCTACGTTCAACAGAAGCCTGAGAAGAAGAACAAGGGGAAAGAGACCTTACAGTTTTACATCTATTTCGATTTCGAATGCACTCAGGAAACCGGCATTCACGTCCCTAATCTGTGTGTGGCACACCGCGTCTGTCAACATTGCGGTCACTTACCCATAGACCAGCCTTGTCCTCATTGTCAACACATGGGACCCCGTCAGCACCTATTTAAAGGACCAGAGACCTTAAAGAAGTTCATGGACTGGTTATTACAACCGACTACAGGTACTAAGAATTCCACTTTAGTACACGACGAGGCCATCATCATCGCCCATAACTTCAAAGGATACGACGGACAATTCATTTTGAATCACCTGGTGCATTCCTCTTGCCTGAAACCTAACGTTATCATGAACGGCAGTAAGATCTTGTACATGGAAATTTGCGGATTGAAATTCATCGACTCGTATAATTTCTTACCATTTCCTTTGGCCAAGATGCCCTCGGCTTTCGGATTGACCGAACTCAAGAAAGGCTATTTCCCCCACTTTTTCAATACAGAATAGAACCAGAATTACGTGGGGACTTATCCACCCGCAGAGGACTACAATCCGGACGAAATGTCTATCAGTGGACGACAGGCTTTTTTCGAATGGTACGAACAACAGACCGGAAAAGTGTTTGATTTCCAGAAAGAGTTTGTAGAGTATTGTGTCACGGACGTCGACATTTTACGACGATGCTGTGCAGAGTTTAGAACCACCCTCAAGACTTTGGTCAAAGTGGACCCTTTCCAGGAATCCATCACTTTTGCCAGTGCTGCCAATTTAGCCTACCGTCGATTATTCATGCCTAATGAGACCATTGTCATCATTCCTAACCTGGGGTATCAACCAGCTCGACAATATTCGGCCAAAGCCTGTCGGTGGCTCACCTGGATGAGTCAACAGACCGGATGTCACATACGTCATGCCAGAAACGGGGACGAAGTCCAGATCGGAAATTATACCGTCGACGGATACCAGGAAGCGACTCGCACCGTCTACGAATTTTACGGGTGTTATTGGCACGGATACCCCACCTGCTATCCCAGTTTACAGACCGAAACTCATCCTCACCGGACCCAATTTACTTACCAGGAATTACACGAAGAAACTCTCAGAAGGAGTTTGGCTTTGGAGGACATGGGGTACAATGTTCGTAGTATCTGGGAGCACGATTTCGATCAGCAAGTGCAAAGAGATGTGAGTTTACAGCATTTTGTACGAGACCTGGACATTCCGGATCCTTTGAACTCCCGAGACGCCCTGTACGGAGGCCGGACCAATGCGACTCGATTATATTGTGAGGAAGGGGACATGAGATACGTGGACGTTTGTTCCCTATACCCTTACGTGTTGAAACACAGACCTTTTACTGTGGGGCATCCCGAGATTATCACAGACGAGTTCCAGGACGTGAGAAGTTATTTTGGTCTCATTCACTGTCGGGTCTTACCACCCCGAGGCCTCTATCACCCCGTATTACCTTATCGGACGCGAGGCAAGTTATTATTTCCCTTATGTCGAACATGTGCCGAACGACAGGACTCTACTTCTCAAGATCGATGTCCACACACCGACCAGGAACGTAGTCTCACGGGCACCTGGGTGACGACCGAATTACATAAAGCCCTGGACATGGGATATACCTTAGAGCGAATCTACGAAGTGTGGCATTTTAAAGAAAGCAGACAGGATTTATTCAGACACTACATCGTTACCTTCCTCAAGATCAAACAGGAAGCCTCCGGATTTCCCCCCGACTGTGAGACCTCAGAACAAAAACAAGATTACATTCGACAAGTCTTAGACAAAGAAGGATTCATGATGGACATTCTCAGTATCGAGAAGAATTCAGTGAGAAGAACCATCGCTAAACTCTTTTTAAATTGTCTGTGGGGAAAATTTGCTCAACGCTTGTTATTACCCAAAACCAGATACTTGGACGAAGAAGAGGAATTACAGCAACTCTTACAAGATTCGACTCTCGACATCAAGGGCATGCGACTCTTAGTCAATAAAGAGGACTCCAATGAGGACAAGATGCTGGTGAATTACCAAAACAAACAGGAATTCGTAGAAGAATGTCCCTTTGGAAACGTGGTCCTGGCTTGTTTTACCACTGCGCATGCCCGCTTACACCTCTACGAGACTTTACAACCTTTAGGAGATAGGGTCCTTTATTTCGATACGGACAGTATCATTTACCAACATCGGGAAGGAGCCTTTAATCCTACCTTGGGCAATAGTTTAGGAGAATGGACCGACGAATTAGACGGGGATCACATCATCAAATTCATGTCGGCAGTCCCTAAAAATTATGGTTACCGGCCCGCCAAAGGAACCGAAGTCCATAAAGGAATCACTCTCAACTATCGAACCTCCCAGATCGTATCCCTAGAGACTTTAGAAAAAATGCTCAAGGGAGAAATAGAGGAAGTTACAGTACCTTATCCCCACAAAATCCAGAGGACCCGTGATCATGATGTCGTGACCAAACATTTAGAGAAACAGTATAGAATTGTGTATGATAAGAGACAATTATTACCCTCTTATAACACTTTACCTTATGGTTATTGATATGTTCAATGTTGACTTTGAATAAAAATTGAATTGTTTTGTGTTTTTTTTCTTCTTCTTCATACTCTCTATAAAAGGTATTCTTATTCAAAATCAAAGGTCATTTCTAATCATGGGTAGTCGCGAGCCAGACCAACCCATGTGTCATCCCCAGTATGCTCAGCTCTCAAAAAGAGAAGCTACTTTTGAGCAGGGATGGCCAGAACCTCTCTTAGGAAAAATATCAGACATAGCTCGAGCCGGGTTTTACTACAGGGGAGTAAAAGATAACGCTACCTGTTTTCATTGTGGAATGACTTTAACGAATTGGGATCTTGAGGACAATCCTTATGCAGAACATGCTTATTGGAATCCTAATTGTCCTTACATCAATCAGTATAAAGGACGAAGCTGGGTGATGGGTATATTTGTCAGTTTCTTAGAGAAGCAGGGATATAAACCTTTAATTGAGATCAAACCTCTACTGAACCCAGAACCAGACGTCCAGGCTCGAGAAAAATGTCACATTTGTTTAGACCAGGAATTAGAAATCGCTTTTCTACCTTGTGGACACGTTCGTTGCTGTGCTTTGTGTGCTCCTTCCTTTCATTTTTGTCCCATCTGTCGAGCCGAGATTCAACAGTCCAAACGCATATTTCTGTGTTAACTATAAATAGGACCCTGAACCCAACTTTTCCTTCATTGATCAACATGTATTCCGAGGAGACACCCCTCCCCTCTTTTCAATTGAAACACGAGTTTACCATGGTGGTTGGGCCCTCAAAATCGGGCAAAACAGAATTCGTCAAGACATTAGTGAACAATGTACACTGGATCACTCCCATGCCCTAAAAAATCGCCTGGTGTTATCGGGCATGGCAACCCGCTTACACTTCTTTAAAAGATAAAGTATATTTCATCCGAAATATTCCAGAAGACGACGAGAAATTACTAGCCAATTTGAGTGTGCCACACTTACTCATTTTTGACGACATGATGGGAGGAAAAGCCATCGAATCCATTGTGGATTGGTTTACCCGCAAAGCGCATCATCGGAATACCAGTGTGATTTACATCACTCAGAATTTATTTGATCGAGCCGCCTCTCATCGCACCATTAGTTTGAATGCTCATTATGTAGTCTTATTCAAAAACCCCAGAGACAAATCTCAGATCAGCGTGTTGAGTCGACAGTTAGCCTTGCCTCATTTGATGTCTGCTTATCAAGAAGCCACCCAGGTACCTCACGGATGTCTCCTCGACCAGACCCCAACCCAATACCGATTGAGAAGTCGAATGTTTGAAATGTTGACTGTACACATGCCTCAAGAGTATAAATAAAAGTGTCTCACACTCTTCTGGGTCATTGTTCATTTCAATTCAAATTTAAATTAGTAAGAACCTTACGACGTTTACAGCGGGAACGAGATCCCGCCAAGCGAGCCCATTTAATCGAATTAGGGCGTAAAGCCTTATTGAATTGGTTTGCCATGGGAGCTCGCAATTTAATAAAAGGGGTCTTACCTATCAATAAACAGACCCAAAAGTTTATCGATCATCATCGTCAAGATTTAAAGATCATTGCCGATCAATCGGCTAGTGATCAAGACAGAAAAACGGCTATTTTAAAACGCGGAGGAGCTGGATTTCTAGGCGGAGTCATCATTCGTCATTTATTCAAATGGAATAGTCCTAAAAAACGACGGGTTGTCGTTTGAAGAGTGTAGTGGTAAGAGTCGATAATAAGAAACAAAGAGTGTTTCCGGATTGGATGGTCCGTGTCGGAGGAGCAGCTCAAAAGAGTAGAAAAAAGAAGAAGAGAAAAACCCCTCCCAAGAAGAAAAAAGTCCCTCCCAAGAAGAAAAAAGCCCCTCCCAAGAAAAAAGCCCCACCCAAGAAAACAGCGGCTAAAAGGCGAAAATCTGCTCCTCAAACTCTAGCTCAACGTAAAGCCATGCCCGAAAGTCTAAAAAACGAAATCAATCAGTACTATAAGGAACAGAGACAAAAGACCATAGGAGAGTTGCTCAAGAAACAAGCAGAACTGAGAATGGATCGTGCTATGGGACCCATAGGCAGTCAAAGAGCCAGCGATTTAGAAGTGTTTCCTCGAGTGAATGTGGGCATTCCCTCCTCCCCTGGAATTAAAGTTCCCATCCATGTCCCTAAAATCACAAGCTTTCAACCCTTGACAACCTCGACGCCTCAACTTCCTAAAGGCCTGAGATATAAATGTCGATATTGTGGAAAAATTTATGTCAGGGAGAAAAGAGAAAACTAGAGATAAACACGAGAGCGACAAACACGGAGGGTATGCCCCTCCTTAAGAGACACTATAAAAGGAGTGACATGGGAGATTTCTCTTCATTGTTTTCAAAGATGGTCAAGAAGAAAAAAGGATGTTGTACGCGATTAAGAGCGCATGCCCCTCTTTTAAGAGTGTTATCAGACCCTCACTATTCCTCGTCCTTAAAAACGGGGATTTTAAAACATTGTTCTGGAGATTGTATTCTGAAAATTTGTGAGATCGTCTACAACCTATTAAAAGGTTCTCAATTCGGCTCAGAAACGAAAACTAGCTCCTAAGAAACACATCTTAAGGAGACTGGTCCGACCCCAATTCATACAGAAAAGACGAGCTTTATTAGTACAACAAAAAGGAGGAAATCTTTTACCCCTTTTAATGTCAGCAGCCCCTTTACTGTTGGATACCGGACATTCTATCTATAAAGCCATTAAAAAGAAGAGGAACAAGAAGGAAATGAGTCGTAAAATGGTGTTAGTGCCTGCAGTTCTGTTGAATGAACTCAAAGGTAAACTCCCGAAACCTCCGGAATTTCAATCAACTCTGAGTATAGGTCAAGAATTGGATCAGATTACACGACGTGAAGATATAACCCCAGAAGAAAAAGTGGCTTTATACGGTCAAGAACTTCATCGGTATAGGAATTATTTACAACAAGCGAGAGAGCCAGGGACTACCAAAAAAACCTCAGTCCGGCTGCACCCGTAGCTCCAGCAGCAGCAGCAGCTCCAGCCCCAGCCCCCGCAGCAGCAGCAGCAGCAGCTCCAGACCCCGAGATCGATCAACAAATCATTCAAAGCGTGAATAAACCCATGCAAAGAAAAGCTGAATTATTATTAAGTCATTAAAAGAAAAACAAAGTATTGACTTGGGATAAAGACGGAGAAATCAGTTATCGAGGTCAAAAAGTACCTGATTCTAACATTGTGGATTTAATAGCTGATAGCATGAGAACCAGACCCTTGAAAAATCATCCGGTGCCTAAAGGATTAGATGAATTTGCTCAAGCTTTAAAAGAGACCCATGCTCCCATGGACTACGTGAAAAATCAAAACTTTATAAAAGCCATGCAGAAACCAGGAAAAATCAGTACTCCTAAAGGGACCTTCAGTGACCAGGACGACGACGAAGAGAGCGGATTTCATGATGCTTCATCTTTTTTGACCCTATTAGACGATCTATAAAATCCAAGCCTTCTCCTATTTTAAAGTTAGAGGAGGCCCTCCAGAAGAAAAAGAAAGTCAGATCAGATCTATTTCAAAAGAGATTACATCAAATCGACAAAGATTGGCTTCCTTTGCCTAAGACATGAAGAAGAAGAAGAAGAAGGAAGTGGGGGACATTTTAACAGAGATTTATTACGATCCCAAGAGAGGGTATGGAGGAATACAGACTTTGTATCGTCAGGTCAGAAGTCTGGGGCATAAGATTTTCTTAAACACCATACGAGAATGGTTAAAAGAGCAAGATACCTATACCTTACATAAACCCATTCACAGAAAATTCCGGAGACAACAAACCAGAGTGACGGATATAGACGAACAATGGCAATTAGATTTAGCCGAAGAAACACAATGACGGCTATACGTTTTTATTGTGTGCCATTGACGTCTTATCTAAATATGCTTGGGTGGTGCCTTTAAAACAGAAAACGGGGAAAGAAATGATTCGAGGATTACAAGAGATTTTCCGACAAGACGGTCGACGTCCTGTCCGCAAGACGGTCGACGTCCCGTCCGCATTCAATCGGATCAAGGCAAAGAATTTACCAATCGAGAATTCTTACAGGCTTTTAAATCCATTCATTTCCTTACCACTCGCAATACGGACACCAAAGCTAGTATTGTGGAACGATTTCAGAGAACCCTCAAAGCACGCATGTGGCGGTATTTCACTCGGAATAAAACCAGACGGTATTTAGAGGTCTTACCGGATTTAGTGTATGCTTACAATCATACCTATCATCGCAGTATCCAAAGAGCCCCAGCTCAAGTGAAGCCCTCGAATGTGTTAAAAGTCTGGAAAACATTATATGGGGAATCACAGACATCTCCTAAACCCCCCAAGTTTAAAACAGGAGATAAGGTCCGCATCAGTAAAGCCAAACGCACTTTTGAAAAAGGATATTTACCTAACTGGACCACGGAAATATTTACCATTGCTCAACGAGTCCCAGGTCGGTATCCTTACGTGTATCGAGTACAAGATTACAACAAGGAGGAATTAGAAGGGACTTTTTACGAGAAAGAATTACAACAGATCATTAAAAAAGACGACGTGTACGAAGTGGAGGAAATCTTGGGGTATAAAAAGCGACGAGTCGGGAAGAAAATCATTCAAGAAGTCAAAGTCCGGTGGAAAGGATATCCCCCTAGTTTCGATTCATGGATTCCTCAAACGGATCTCATCCAGTAACTCCTCATTGGAAATTTTGTGGAGAGAATATTCCTCGAGAAGAAATTGTGTATTTTGCACAATTATTCATTTGTATTTCCCTCATCATCACGAGTGTGGTCATGTTAGCTTTACACGATCCTAATCGAGAATATTGGATGGTCTGTGTGAGTTCTTCCGTCGGTTACATCATGCTTAGTCCTACTATGATGCATCAAACCCCTACAAGAAGACGAATTCATAAAGTTAGTGTCTCTATATTAGGAGACAACCAAACCCAAGGGGATCATTTCTGATCTGAGTGAGGGACAGAGCACATCATGGAATTTTTAAGCTCAGAGTATCGTTGGAAAATAGTAGAACCTAAAGGGACTACTCACAAAGGAGAATGGATGAGAAACAAAGAGACATGTATTCAAAATTTCTTTGATAAGAATCCAGGACAAACAGGTCTCAATGAAATCTACCTGTATAAGAGAATCAAGTTACCGGACCGCAAAAGAAGCAAACACATGGTCTTATTAGGACCCAGATCACCTAAGTATGAAGAATTCAAATGGAAAGTCAATTATGTCTTGGTTCACCGAAGACAGGGACCCGAGAAGACTTGGATTCATGGGAAATGGATGGAAAAAGCCAGAGATTGTATACAAGACTATCTGAAGGAAGTGATCCTAAAAGGATACGTTATCATGGACTGTGCTTGTGAAACAGACTATTTGTACATGAGGAGATCTTTTCCCATACAAAAAGAACTGAACAGAAGTTTTGAATGTTTGTTATTATGATGTTCTTGTTATTGTTATGAATAAAAATAGAGAAAACCAAAATCCTAGTGTTGTTCATTTTTTTCCCTATATACACAACGAAGCGCTCTATATACACTAGGTTTGTAATGATGACGTCACAATCACTGATTTGAATCGCTGCCAAGTAGTCAGCATAAAAAACGTCCCGAAATCGTACATGAGCAAAAACGTAGGTCCAACTTATTTTTGCACACGACCTTACAGTAAAGGTATATAAAGCGGAGCTGGGAGTACCCTGCGCTCATTGTACCCATCATGATTTTTGTGTGGAGATTGATGTATTTGTTCGAGGTAGAAAAATATGTTTGTCATTACTGTGATCAGAAGATGATCCATCCGAAGGAATTCACAGTGTATAACCCCTGTCCCGGATGGCGTTGGAAAGTCTATAGGATTTGCGAGCATTGTGAAATGCCATTTCCACACTGGTTTGACGATGATGAGCCTTCCATGGAGACTTGTGGTTGTAGCTGGTGCATTAAATATTTCATCTGGAAGAAAGGAATTGAGAATATACCGCCTCCCCGATGGGTGAAAATGACCAGGAACAGACCGTTGAAAGAATGTATGACCTGCTGCCAGGAAAAGACTCAAGGAAAATGCAAATGCGGACAATGCAGGCAATACCCGTGTTGTGAAAAATGTATGGAGAAGTTCACAGTGACCTGCTACAGAAATTGTCCATTATGCCGATACATGGGACATTAAAATCATTTGACTTTTTTGTATTTTACTTGAATAAAATCTTGTTTTTAAAATTCTTGTTTTGTTTTTTTTAAAAATAACTTTTAAAAAATAGATGAAAGGTTTTATCAAGAGGTATATAACAAACCCTCTCTCATTCTGAAAAAGGACACTGGTCAAGTCAGACGTGTTTTATTTCCCAAAGATGCAGTATCGTTGGTATTGTGAGAGTCCTGTCAGTCAGTTTATGTATATGCAAGGAGGGTGGATGAAAACTAAAATAGGAGCCATCATGGATTTCTTTGAAAATCATCCAGGATATTCCCTAGAGAATGTGTGGTTGGAAAAAAGAGTGAAAATCCCCTATCCTCTAACAGGATCTAGAGTGAGGGTGAAAATCAACCATCATTATCAGCAATTCAAATGGGTCACCTGTACTCATATGAATCGTCTCACACCCATCAACACCATTCAGAATGAAAGTTCATGGTACTCGGACATTGGAGATTGTCTGAAATATTATTTCAAGATGGAGAAAAAAGGACTGACGTTTCCACCTCATTATTGTCCTACAGAGTACGTGTATTGTCGCATTCCCTTTTCCCAGATTAAAGACTCGATGGAAAACAAAGGACTTTTGTTGAGCCGAGTGATTGAGGACCGATCAGAAGACGAAGAAGAAGTAGAAGTGTAAATAATTGAATAAAATGTTTATTTTAAAAAAGTGTTGTTATAAATACAAAGGTCATCAGGTGTGGGGTCTCAGTCCTAGACCGAACATGGCCGAGAGCAGTGGGTTTTACATGACTTTACCCAGCGATGGGTCTATGTCCTCTTTTTCTAGCAATACGACCGCTCAATTTAAAACGTTATTGCCACAAACAGTGGATTTAACCGACGGAGAATGGGAGGTGGCTTTAACAGAAATGATGTATCCCAATTCATTGAAAAACATTACAGAAAAGGAGGCTTATTTTGACATCCTGGTCCCTCAGTCTTTTGCTCCCCATATCAAAGACCCCGATGTTTATGGCAGATTTAAAATGAAAAAACCCATAGACGCAATGCCATTACGTCAATGTCCTGTACTGCTCGATTTGGTCCATACTAAATGGGGTGAAATCATCGATACAGATAGCATGATGGAAATTAGGCGAATTCACTTCAGACCCGGGCCTTACGTTCACCCCAAGGCTTTAACAGAGGAAATAGGTGAAGGACTAGAGAGATCATTGAGAAAAATATGGAAAACCCTTGGTCATCCAGATGAAGAAAATTCTATGAAATTAGTATATTATGAGACCTATGATCGAGTGATGTATCAATTTAATGGAAAAATGCTTAGAAAAACTCCCTTATGCATTCGTTTCCCCACAGCACTAGCTTATAAGCTAGGCATGGACAGTCAGAAGGTCATTCTTCAGAACGATACAGAAAACATGACCAAATGGATCAACATTAGTTACTTGGGAAACAATACTGTGGATTTATATGAAAATCTGAAATCCATGTATGTCTATTGTGACTTGATTCAACCCCAGACGGTAGGATCCAATGCCTTGAAATTATTAAGAGTGGTTCCTTGTACATTTCATTTGGAGGATTCAAAACAAGCCAAATGGGAACCCATTCGAGCGGAATATTTGAAACTAAGTAAAAAACATTTCGATACCATTGAGATTCACATCATGACTCCTTTAGGGACTCCCATGCCCTTTGTAAGTGGTAAATCAGTGGTGAAACTTCATTTCAGAAAAGTATACTGAGATGAATGTACCGTTGTTTTGTTCCATCTTATTGGGCGTGATGGCTTGCCTGGTCTGCTGTCTGTATTGTATTCAGCCCTAAAAAAGGGTATAAAAGGAAGTCCCCCGAGGACATAAAGGTCAGTTGAACAAGAGACATGAACCATGCAGTATCATCCCGGATTACTGAGACAAAGAGGACACGGTTGGACTTATCATAAAGGTTTATTACGTCAAAAAGGCCACGGAGCAGTAGGTTCCATCATCTCTGGATTGGTGGGAGCCCTTCCCTTGGATAATTTTTCACCGGGACCTCCTGCTACACAATTACTCAAATTGGGTAGGATTTTAACTCACATGAAACCTCAAAAAGGAGGAAATTTTTTAAACTTCCTCTCGGGAGCGGTTCCTAACTTACGCATACCGGGCACAGACTTAGGTTTGACTCTCAAAGACGCGGCCCAGTTAGCAATGGGGCGACAACAAGGTCGAGGATTTGTCAAAGATCTACTCAAACATGGGAAAAAACAAGCCATCATGGCCGGAGTGAAGATAGGCAGGGATGTAGTGGGAAAAAGAAAAAACATCAGAAATGCTCTTTTAACCCACGGACTCAATGCGGCCAAAAATACAGGTCTGTTTGCTTTCAATCGAGGAGTCTCTTTGCCCTTTAGAAAGAAGAAGAAAGGACAAACAGGTCAAGAAGAAGAAGAAGAAGAAAAAGAAGAAAGCAGACAGGGAGAGGAAGAGTACTGTTAGCCCGAGGGGGTCCTAAGAGAAAAGGGAAAAAACAAGGAGGAATTCCTAAAAGAAAACGTCATTTAGATGTGTTTGACTGAGAGAGTATAAATAGGCCAGTGCAGTGAACAGAAGGTTCATTTGTGAAAACTTAATCCTAGTAGACACATCATGTTACAGCCCGATTCCTGTGCGTGTGGGATGAACAATTTACAATTGTTCCAAGTCACTCCCACCAATATTGCTTTAGAAGACTCAGAATGGGAAGAATATTACCCCATTTCCAGTACTTTAGATTCCGACACCGCTCCCATCGAATTTGAAATTAAAGGACAAGGAGATCACTATCTGGATTTATCTCAAACTTATCTTCAAATGGTATGTAAATTTACCAAAGACGATGGAAGTAATCTGACTGGGGCTAACAGCACTTCGAGTCCAGTGAACAATATCTTACATTCCATATTTACGGAAATCGATGTCAGTCTGAATGGCAAAATAGTGACTCCGGGGACGGATACCTATTCTTACAAAGCTCATCTGGAGAAATTATTGTCTTACCGACCCAGAACTTTAAAGACACAGACGAGGGCCTGTCGTCTGTGGGAAAAAGATACGGCAGGACAAATGGACGAAGTAGGGTTAGATGACCTTGGTGTAGCTCAAAATAAAACCTTTAATGTAACTCCGGGTCCAAATGGTGGTGCCGATACAGTGACCATTAACCAACCCATCCTCACAGAGTTACCGGACAATTCTAAAAACGAAGAATTCAGAAAACGTCACCAAGCTATTGCTGGGAGTAAGAAAATCAGTTTGCTGGATGGTTTACATTTGGATTTGTTTCAACAAGATCGATTTCTACCCAATGGAGTGGACGTCCGTTTGCGATTTAATCGAGCTAGACCCGCTTTCTACATGATGATCAAAGGAGGAAGTACAGGAAAAGTGAAAATATTGAGTATGGTCTTGTGGGTGAGAAAAGTCAAACCCACAGCAGTCATGATGAATACCATTAATCAAAGTTTGAACACCCACAGAGCCA